TAAATAAATGGCAGCCCTCAATAAACAGTAGTCATAATTAATGTTAGTGTTAGATACAGTATGGGAAATGGACTACAAAGGTCAAAACCGGGTATGAGGGGTTCACTAAGGCATCTCTCACAATAGTTAAGAGGAATGACGACAGTGGCCTAGATTAGGGTGGCAACAATGAAAGTACATATGGAATGAAGATGAATTTGATAGCTTTATAAGAGGGAGAATCACTTGGTTTCTGAATGGAAATGGGCAAAATGTAGTGACAGGGGTTGTTTAAATCCCCAGTTTCCAGCATGAATGTCTGGGAAGAGAGTCATGGCACAGATGGGGAAGGGGAATTCAGACTAAGGAGTGAGCTATCAACTTCACACCTCATCCTAAGACAGGAAACAAAAATACATCTAGATTGTAGAGGAGAGAGATTGGCAACACAGTGGGCAAAAATCAACCAGAAATAGTCAACAATAGAACCAGCACCAAAGATAGAAAGATAGAGGGAGAAGCAGAGACAGAAAGCATGTACTCCAAATTTAGCCCTTTCATTCAGCATTTCTCTGTTAATGGCTTAGGTTCTTTATCTCTCTTAAATTACAAAAATTTCACAGATTGTCCACAGCAAGCTAAATGTTTCCTCTCTGAGAATGTATATTTCTGCCCTACGCCAAACAGATTTCACCAGAATTTCCCTACCATAGGGATTTTACATTTAATTGTCACTGAAAAGATTTGGGGAAAAAACCCCAGTCCTACTTCCCTTTTAGCCTGGAGAAGAGAAGAGATTTTGGAAAGCAGGCCATGCAAATCTCTAAACTCACAATAAACTATGAATTGCAGAGTTATAAGAACCCACAGGAAAAAAGAAGGTATAAACTTAACCTCTAGCTTGCTGTTCTGGCCTGATAGAGCTCTGTTATTTAACACAAAAGTGTCAACAAAACATGCCCCTTAAGTAAGTGAAATGTATGTAGTACACCAGTGAAGCAGAAACAAATACTGTACCCATATCTGTAAAAGCAGAAGTGGAAGCATGATGTGGGTGTGTGCAAGTTGTTCTTATTTTTGAAATTGAAATGCACTTGATGCATCTTCCCTTGCTCTCTCACAGCCTCTGCATAGATAATAGATGAGAGTAGAAACAGTGCCAACACTAAAGTCAAAGTGGGCGGTGAGGAGAGATTGGTGACATGTAAGGACAAGTGTTTAGTCTTATCCTGATAGCCTAACTAGTGTAATCTTAGTGTTAAAAGATAATAAGGTTCTCTATGTTATTAAAAAAGTTCTGCCATAATGTGCCCTTTGTGTCATGATGAACCCCATTCTATTGAATAGTCCCTCCTGAGCAGGGAGAGGCAAGTGGAATAGCGGAAATAGCATAGAATTTGAATCAAGTCAGGAGTGATAGTAAATTTCATTTTTACCATTTGCTAGTTTTGTTACCTCAGGCAATTTACTGAAACTCTCTGAACTTTAGTTTCCTCATCTGCACTATGATAATAATAATAGTACCCACCTCTGAGGACAGTTGTGAGAATTAAATTAGATAGTGCATGTGAAAAATTCCATTGCAGATTCTGGGGTACATCGTTGATAGTCAAACCATGATAAATATTTCCTGTCATACCTGTGAGCACCCCTCAACCCTCTTTTCTAAGTTATCCATTCATAAGCAAGATTGCATGACTTTGTAGAGCATATCAAAGATAGTCCATGTAGGGAGAATGGAACATAAAGGGGCAGAAAAGTACTGTTTAGAGTAATGGTAGCTCATAATGTGGGCTCTTTTTTATTTGTGAATTAATCACTTGGGATCCTGTTCTTTTATCCTATTTCCTGGAGCAGAACCTTAAAATATAGAAAGTCATTCTGCTACTTATAAAAAGAATCTAAAGGCAGGCTTCTCCTGTTTTGTGTTTTTTTTTTAAGGCATTTTTAATTTATTTTTTTCAATTACAATTAATATTTAATATTTTTTATATAAATTTCAGGTGTACAACATAGTGGTTAGACATTTAAATAATATACAAAGTAATCCCCCAATAAGTCTAGTCCACACCTAGCACCATACATAGTTGTAACAATATTATTGATTATACCCTCAGGCCATATTTTACACCCCCATAATTATTTTATGACTACCCTAAAGATTTCACCAAAAACACTATTAGAACTGATAAATGAATTCAGTAAAGTAGCAGGATACAAAATTAATATTCATAAATTGGTTGTGTTTTTATACTCCAATAATAAACTATCAGAAAGCAATCCCACTTACAATTCCATCAAAAAATAAAATACCTTAGAATACATTTAACCAAGGAGGTAAAAGACATGTACTCAGAAAATTATAAGACAATGAATAAAGAAATTGAAAAGATACAATAAACGGAAGCATATATTTTACTGATGAATAGGAAAAATTAACACTGTTAAAATGGTCATACTACCCAAAGCAATCTATAGATTTAAAGCAATCTCTATAGAAATAACAATGGCATTTTTCACAGAAATACAACAGATAATTCTAAAATTTATATAGAACCACAAAAGGCACTGAATAACCACAACAACCTTGAGAAAGAACAAAGTTGGAGTTGTCATGCTACCTGATATCAAACTATACTACAAGGCTATAGTAATTAAAACAGCATGGCACTGGCATAAAAACAGGCATATAAGATCAATGAAACAGAATAGGGACTCCAGAAATAAACTCATATATATATGGTCAATTAATATATGAAAAAGGAGGCAAGAATGTACAATGGGATTAAGACAGGAATAACTATGTATGCTGTCAGATGGGTGCCAGATTTATCAACATGATCACTTAGTGAGTTATATAATGTCTAATCACTGGGGAGCACACCTGAAACTAATAAAATGTTGTACGTCAACTCTGAAAAATAAAAAAATTTATTTAAAAATAATTTTAAAAAGAAAAAGAAAAAATGGTGCTGGGAAAACTTGAAAAAAAATCATGTTGGGATACATGAAAAAAATGAAACTATAAACCACCGTCTTACACCATATACAAGAATAAACTCAAATGGAATAAAAACTTACATGTAAGTCCCCAAACAATAATACTCCTAGATAAAAACATAGGTAATAAACTCTCTGACATTGCTCTTAGTAATAATCTTTCTGATATATCTCCTTGGGCAAGAGAGACAAAAAAGAAAAAAAAAATAACAAAATTTGACCATCAAACTAGAAAGTTTTTGCACAGCAAAATAAACCATTAACAAAACTAAAGGACAACCTACTGAATGCAAGAATATATTCACCAATGATACATCCAATAAGGGGTTAATATCAAAAATTTTTAAAGAACTCATATAACTATATATGGTGGCAGAAGTATTGGGGTCAAACCAGAAAAATTTTGTATAGCAAAGGAAACCATCAACAAAATGGAAAGACAGCCCATCAACTGGGAAAAGATATTTACCAATGATAAATCTGATAAGGGGTTAATATCCAAAATTTATAAAGAACTCATACAACTCAACACCAAAACAAACAGTTCACTTAAAAAGTGGGCAGAGGACCTGAATAGACATTTGTCCACTCCCTTTTTTATAAACTTAAAATAATCAAAACAAAATGAAAATAATAACAAAATCCCTTACTCCACTCAAGGAATAAACTCACTGTATTATTTCTTCCATTTCTAGCTCTAATGTAATAAACATTCTTGCAAATTCAAAAGAAGCTATGTTTGCAAAATTTGTCTTTGAGAGGAAAAGAAATGATGAAGAGAAAAATGTATATAAGTGTTAGGCACATTTTCCTCCGATTTGAAGTCCCTGATCTCTGTTTAGTGGCTTTGTGGCCTTGATGAACTGGGCATGCTTCTTCTACCTGTATTATGTGCAGCATGAATGAAATAATTTTCAAAGTTCCTCTCTAGTAAAAAAATTGTACAAGAGAAGTAAAGTAAAATAATGAATTTGCTGCTTTTCTGCCATTCTTATTTGCAGGTAGCCTGCATAAATCCACAGCCAGACCTTGAGAAGTCCTAAATATTCTATATTCCCCAGGCCCAACATATAATACATATTAAAAGCCATACTAAATCATAAAATTAGATTAAAGAAGCCTAAAAGTATTTTACTCCTTATAATGACTACTTTAATGAAAAAAATATTAAATATTAAAAGGGTTCCAATAAATGATTTTGGTGGCCTGTTTTGCTGGTGCCCTAATCAATGTTTATTGTGACTGTTAGATAATCTGTCATGTCCATGATGTCACACCAGTACAAAATTCCCCTTAGACAAAGAATTACTCACTTCTCTTCCAGATCACATAAGGGGAAAGATCCCAGTTCAGCTTCTAAATTTATATATTAATGAAATTTTTAATGTAAATTTAGAATGTGACCTAAGGCAAGGGAAAGACATAAAGTACACAAGAACCACAAGCTATTGTGATAGAATAATGAGGAGATAACATCCCCAAATATTGAAAATCAGCCAGGATACTGGCAATGCAGGCTAAGAGGGGCAGGGCTATTTTCCAAGTGCTGTGGTGCCAAGGTAGAAAGTCAGGACCCAATGGGCAAAGTAGGACACAAAAGAGAGACAAAGGGACATAAAAGGTAAGGCTATGTTTCCATCATTACAAATGAAAATGACTGAGCAGTATTCACTTTAACCAAGGCTTGGGGCAAGACGAATTTGGACACAAAAGAACAGACTAAAATGCCACACCCTTTTTGCCGTGGTGAAAACAATAGAATAAATAATTTAGGACATCCTTGCCTGCAAAATACAACTTTCAATATCTGGGAAGGCAGTTTGCGGACAATTCCATGTTTCTCTGATTCACTGGGTGACTTTAGATCAATAGTATATTTTCCTTGAGCATTTATTTATTCAGCTGCAAACAGGTCCCTTCTAATTATAATATTCTATGTCTTTTCAAGTGTAAAAAGAAATCTGAGTGTTGGCTAAAGAATTGGTTAACCATTACACTTTTTTTTCCTTTGGTTTGGGCAGGGATCATAACTCTACGGCTTACCTTAATGAATATACTGAAATATTCAAGATGCATAACAACAGTATTAGCAATGCTACCACTGGAACTGACTGCAATGTCACTAATTTGACATTTCAGTACACCCTCTATGCAACCACCTACATCCTCATATTCATCCCTGGTCTTCTGGCCAACAGTGCAGCCTTGTGGGTTCTGTGCCGCTTCATCAGCAAGAAAAATAAAGCCATCATTTTCATGATCAACCTCTCTGTAGCTGACCTTGCTCATGTGCTCTCCTTACCCCTCCGGATTTACTACTACATCAGCCACCAGTGGCCTTTCCAGAGGACCCTTTGCCTGCTGTGCTTCTACCTGAAGTATCTCAACATGTATGCCAGCATTTGCTTCCTGACCTGTATCAGCCTTCAGAGGTGCTTCTTTCTCCTCAAACCCTTCAGGGCCAGAGACTGGAAGCGTAGGTACGACGTGGGCATCAGTGCTGCCATCTGGGTTATTGTGGGCACTGCCTGTTTACCATTTCCCATCCTGAGAAGCACAGACTTAGCCAACAACACTGTATTCTGCTTTGCTGATCTTGGATACAAAAAAATGAATGCAGTGGCTTTAGTTGGGATGATTACAGTTGCTGAGCTGGCCGGATTTGTGATCCCAGTCGTCATCATCGCATGGTGTACCTGGAAAACTACCATATCCTTGAGACAGCCACCAATGGCTTTCCAGGGAATCAGTGAGAGGCAGAAAGCATTGCGGATGGTTTTCATGTGTGCTGCAGTCTTCTTCATATGCTTCACTCCCTATCATATTAACTTTATTTTTTACACCATGGTAAAGGAAACCATAATTAGCAGTTGTGCCATTGTCAAAAGCACACAGTATTTTCACCCTTTTTGTCTATGCCTTGCAAGTCTTTGCTGCCTTTTGGATCCAATTCTCTATTATTTCATGGCCTCAGAGTTTCGTGATCAACTCTCCCGCCATGGCAGCTCTGTGACCCGTTCCCGCCTCATGAGCAGGGAGAGTGGTTCATCAATGATTGGCTAAAAATAAAATAACTTTTCAATTACGACTTTGTTTAACTATATCTTCTGTTTTGTTTGTTTGTATGTTTTCCCCAAAGACCAGCCTAACAATTTCTTTAAATGAACTTTGGGAACAACAGAAATAAATGTCCACCTGTGTAATAGTTGTAGTCATAGGGGTGTGATGGTGGAGCCAGAGTGTGAAAAATATGGGAAAGGAAAATGGGACTTGCCTGGTCCTCTTTGAAATTCAAGCCACTTTCTATTTAAGAGAGCTAGATCAAATGTTTACAGATGTTTTCAAGGAAATGCAAATAGGATATTTTTCTTAATCATTTCTTCAGTAAATATGATATTGTTAATAAGATACAATAAATGAATCTTACCCATATGTAAAAAGTAAACTTTTTAGTATGAAAGCATTTATTTGTGGATGAGACTGAAAATATCTTGCCTTTCTAAGACACAAATTCACAGGCAAAGGAGAGTGAAAATTGAGGCAATGTGTATATAAATTTCAGGACAACAAGCCTTTTGATTAAAAGGCATTTGTTCATTCACTGAAAATGTATTGGATGTCTATTATATTGTGGTTTTCCACTTTCATAGATACTTTGCACATATAGCATCTCATCAGGCCCTTCTGATAAACTTGTGGAAGTTACCAATATAAATATATAAATGGAACTTCAGGGAAGTGAAGCAACTTGTCAGGGGATAAACAGTGATTAGTCAAAATATATGTTTAAATTATTCACTCCATTTGTGTTGTTACTTTTACTGAGTCAATACTAAACTTGAATTGAATGGTGATGACACAGACTAAAGCTAAGATACATGAGACTAAAATGATTTTTACACAATTTATCTGAGATTATCTGAAAAGTCTGTGGGTTGTGGGGATCAATGTCAGGCTTCAGGCTGCAAGGTATCAGATAAATAGAAAGGTTGTTCTAATACTGCCTTGATTTACAGCCTCCTGATGATCAGAGGTATAGGAAACCTAAATAGTTTATTACTTGCCAAAACATATTTTAAGGCTCAATGTACACCATACAAATCCCATAAATAGATTAAAGAAACAAAGCTGTAAAGCTGAGAGATAAGCATTCTGTGAAATTATAAAAATTTTGGAGCTTGCTCAACCTTTTTTTTCTTAAATAATACTATACACATCTCTGAATAAATGTGTGTTTATTAAGAAGCTTCTCTGTGAACAGAGCTTATAGAATTGCATTAGAAACAGAAAATGTTATCATGTTATGAATAAAAGGAGGAAAAATGTGTTGTCCTGGAAATCTTCTTATCTTTATTCTTCTGGAGGGTATAGCTGTTGTTTCAGAGACATTATGAAAACTTTAAATATAAGCAATCCTCAGTTTCTCTGCTTGGCATTTATGAAGCTCAATTTATCATTCTAATCTTTAATGCTTATAATTTAAATAGCATGTCAGACATTTGGTCTGCAGAGAGGAAGTGGTAGTCCTCAAAATATCCATTTCAACAGACTGACTGGAAGAGGATGAAGTGATAACTAAAAAAGAAGGAGTTAAAAAAAAAAAGAACAAGGTTTCTATGGAGGGAAAGAGTTATGTAATTACAAATTAAAACTGGTTTTTGTGTGCTTTATTAATCAGAATCTGAAGTTACTGCCTAACTGTTTGGAGAATGGCAGTATTATCAGAATTACTGTATTAACAGCCCCACCCTAAGGAGATGATTTTGAAAGAAACCCATTTGGAACTAAACATCCTGCTATGTCTGTGGAGAAAAAGAATCTCAGTTCTAGATAGCCATACTTTATATTCCCTCTTTTCAAGTTATTGACAAGAGGCAGTACTTCAAGCACAGGAATTGTGGATTAGTGGTAAAATTAAATCATGTACCTTTCATTTAGCCAGCAAGAAAGTGGAATCTTTGGGCTTTGTAGTGAGAAAAAAAAAGAAATCAACAAAGCAACAAAAAGTTGGTTCTTGAATTTTAAAGGCTAAGATGTCTTATAAAGGTTGGAGCAAAAGTTAGTTTACAGTTGTTTGTATGAAAAAAATAATACAATAATTAATAAATAATAATATAAGAATAAACTCAGTTTCACATACTCAAAACTGTAAACCTCCCTAGCTGATTTGGCCCAGTGGTTAAAGCATCAGTGCTCAAACTGAAGG